CAAGTGCCACTTCCTTGAAGTGAATGACCGGTAACAAGCTCGTTGAATATTATCTTAGAATAGTTCATTCTATGCGCACGAGTATTGATGGTCCGAAAGTGAGGATAACAATAACAAATCAAAACTTTTGCCTGAAGCGAAAGTGAGGATGACAAACTTCGCACTTGAGAATGGGATTTCGCAAGTGTGCGTGTTATAAACGTCAGAAAAGTCAATAAAATTTAACAACTTTTTTCCGTCCTTGATATCAAAAGTCATAAGGGCAGGGTTGCCAAACTTATGGGTTACTGAGACTGATACCTTAACTGCCACACTTTGGCACGTTCGGCACAACGCTTGACCTAGCTTTCGGCACAGATAAAGTACTCGGCACAGATTGGGATGTGAAAAGTTGAACACCCCTTAGTGTTTTCATATAGAAAATATGTATTTTGTTCTTCACAGGGTTGACCCATTTCATATACGTGTGTTCTAAAGGGTGTCTTACATCAAATTGCATCACGGAAAAAACGCTCTAGAAAATTACCCATTTGGGTATTTTCTCTTGAAAATTTTTGTACACGAAACGAAAATCAATTATTTCATTCATGTTTGCAAAAATCATCAGCCTTAAACATTCCAAAAGACTAACCACATAGGTCCTATTAGATTGCATAAAACGTATGTGTGATCGCTTATAAATTTCATTTGACACATGATCTTCATTAACTTTTTGCAAGGCGTCTGCTTATTAGTTGACTTTTACATTTTATGAATAATCAGCAATAGAAATTGTCCAAAAAGAATAAGAAGATTTCTATCCGTGTAGAAGTAGCTAAGAGTGTATTGCTTACACTGTATTTTTATCGTTGTCAGTTTTTCGAAGGTTGGAAAAAATGGCGTCACCCGAAAAGCAACGTCATGAATCGATTTTGCGCAAGCACCTGGAAAATCTTCACCTCTCTCTCCGGGACGTCGGAAAACAACTCGGAATCGTGCAGTCAACGGTGAGTCGTGTGATTAAATGTTACTACGGAACTCTGAGCAAGGAGAAATGAGGTCAGAATGGATTTTCTATTAATGATCAGGATCACAAGCGTGTCGTGAAAGCGTTTAAGCGGAATCCTAATGCTTCGGTCAGGGATGTGGTCAAAAAGTCCAAGTTTTTCGTTCAGAGAGCCAAGGACCGGGAGAGACTGCATACGTACAAAGTGCAGAAGCCTCCAAATCGTGACGTACGGCAAAATACGGTGGAAAATCACGGGCCCGGAAACTGAACCCCCAAATGCTGACGAAGTCTCATTGTCTCATCATGGATTTTGAGACTTACGTCAAGGCGGACTTCCAGCAGCTTCCGGGGCTACTGTTCTTCACCGCCCAGCACAAGTTTGATGTTCCAGAGGAAGTTAGGAAGCAGAAACTTTCTAAGTTGTATGTAAGAACGTTGTGATTTTTGTGAAGACCCTCATGGAAGGAAGGTTGCTGCTGGGAAAGTCAATGTTGGCCATGAGTATTGCATCCTCTAGTGTTTCTACTTGGTTTTGTAACACGTCTAGATTAGTTGATTGATTTGAACTGTTTTTGGTCCTTTCGTTTTCAACTTTGAGAACTTGGAAGAATAAAAGTTGGGTTAAAAGCAGGGTTGCTTCCACTCACTTGCTATAACAAAAATGTTTTTCGGAATTCTATGTTATATTATATGTTATATGTTAAAAAGGCAACTTCAGATATTCTGGTGCTACGCAGCAGGATTTTAAGATTAAAATCATGAATGTAATTTCTTGAGAACTTTTAGGGTAGGAAACTCACTTTAAGGTATGCTCAAAAGTCTAAAATATCTTATAGAAGTTTCCTTGAAAATTTCTGAAGTTCACAGAAATTGTCTCAAGTTCGCATAAAACCTTTGGACTTCACGGAAATACTATTAAGTTTGCAGAAATTCCCCGAAATTCACATAAATTTGTAGAAGGGCCTTGTAGCTCTCAGAAATTCCCTGCAGTTTTCAAAGATTCTATGAAGTTTGAGGAATAGAATTAACCTCCCTGAAGTTCACAGCAATTCATTAATGTTTGCAGAATTACCTGACGTTCGTAGAAATTCCCTAAATTTCATAGAACTTCTCTGCAGTTCACAAAACTTCCCTGAAATTCATATAAATGTTTTGAAGTTAGCATAAATTTTCTGAAGTTTACAAAAATTCGCTGGACTTCGTAGAATTTTCCTCTTGGCATCTAAAGTTCACATGCATTCTTTGAAGTTCGCAGAAATTCTATGAAGTTTGCAGAACTTTCCCGAAATTCGCAAAAAAAAAGTATGAAGTTTGCAGCAATTGCCAGAAAATTGGTCTCAAGTTCTCTGAAGTTCGTAGAAATTCTTTAATGTTTACAGTAATTCATGAAAGTTCGCAGTACTCTCCAGAATTTCACATTATTTCCTTGAAATTCTCAGAAATTCCTCGAAGCTCTCAAAAATTCCCTGAAGTTTACAGAGCATCCCGGAAGTATGCAGAATATGTTCACAGAAAGCCTCTCAAGTTTGCAGCCAATCGCAGCCAATCCTGCTACCTGTTAAAGAACCTAGATATAAATCAGAAATTATTTATTAGAAACAAAAAAAAAGAAGATAACTTACCACAACCATCTCTGTTATATTCCCGTCTGTTTACACCCAGTCGAACGCTGGGTAGGTGACGACTCTTGTCACTTTAAATCGCCATTTCAGTACGACTGTCACTGAAAAGTGACTGTGAAAATAAGGTGAGAGTTTATCGGGATCATCCGAAGTGACTTTTCTCTCCTCACTAGTTGGAGGCGAACCAGCCCCAGGCTGAAAGCCTCCCTAATAAAGATAAATTAATTAATTAATCTCCTCACTCGCCAGCCGGAATCGGATGACTCAAGTGGCTCGATTCACCTCACTTCACACGCTTTGCTATAATTACTCAAAATTCCTGTTTTTTTTTGTTTTGGACAATTTGGCAAATATATCACTTACACACAAAATTCATGGAATAGACCGAAAGCATCCCTCAATCTTCACGAACGTTTGCTGCAAATGTACGCATAAGTATATTTTTATTTATTTATTCATTTATTTATTTTATTCATTTTTTATTTATTTATTAATTTATTGATTTTGTATTTATTTATTTATTTATTTATTTATTTATTTATTTATTTATTTATTTATTTGTCGATTCATTTATTTATTTATAAATTTTTTATTTATGTATTTATTTGTTTACTAATTTATTTATTTATTTATTTATTTATTTATTTATTTATTTATTTATTTATTGATTTTTTTTTATTAACTTATTTTTTTTTTTTTTTTATTTATTTATTGATTTATTGATTTATTTATTTAATTATTTATTTATTTATTTATTTATTAATGAATTAATTAATTTATTTATTTATTTATTTATTTGTCTATTTATTTATTTATTTAATAATTTTTTATTTATGTATTTATTTATTTACTTATTTATTTATTTATTTATTTATTTATTTATTTATTTATTTATTTATTCGTCAATCAATCAAGTCGAAGACTTCATAGGGCTTATGTTCTATGGCTTTGAAAGGTTCTGAAATATATTTTTAATTCTGGTAATATATTAATATTTAGGTAAATCATTTCACCAAATTACGTCCAAATTTAGCGTTATTGGTCCGATTGCGTTTAACATCAGACACATGAATCTTGCGTGAGCAGCCATGTTTTTATCTTAGAACTTTCGTTGTTAAAGTTTGTGAAATTATAGGAAAATATGAGTCATGACGGTTTTGGATTGGATTGTTTGTTATAAACTACACACTACTAAAAAGTCATGTAAATTTCGGTTACCTGAGACCAACACATGTAAGCGGGCCTTTTGACATAAGAATCAGTTGAAAGAAACGTGAAAATCAATTCAAACAAACGTTCTCTTCACCGACTAGCTGATGTTTCGGTTTGAGAACACTTAATTTTACATTAAATATTTTTTTACGTTCTATGATTTACGTCCAATATGGATTACGTCTCGTGTAAAAGTAGTTATTTCTAAGTGTCTATGTATAGAGTATGAAAAAAAAAACAAAATAATCACTTTAGATTAGAGTTACTTCAATCATAGTTAAAACACAGCTTTTTGAAAAAAGTTATGTTTTTGTTTCAGACATACAGCTTATTTATCCACTCCGAAACATCAACTGCAAGAACACCACGAAAGTCGAGTGGCATTTCCGAAATTGTTCAATAAACCATTTGTTTTCTCGTGGAATAACTTCTCATCAAATCTCATTGTATCATCATTCTCCAATCTGCAACTTTGGAATTTGTTCGCTCGCTCCATCGAGTTGAATAAGCAATTTGTCATCTAAACAAGCAGCACTCGAGAGCTGGAATAATACCGAGGAAAATTGAGTCAAAACGTTTCCCGAAAACTTTTCCTCTCAACAGTCGCAGCCGAGAAATCGAATAAAGAGGGGGCGGCTTCTTAGTGGCAACAACATCAACAACATCAGCATTCCCGGCTGATGAAAACAGATGAGATAAAGCCAAAGTAGCAGAAAAAGAATAAAAGTTATCCAAATACCGTAATTGAATTGACTTGAGTTCACAAAGATTCTTTCTCCGTCGCCCTTCCTGTGTCGACGAAACGAGAAACTGATAAGAGCGATGCTGATGCTTTTCTTCTGAGTTCTGTGGGACAAATAAGGCGAATTGCTTTGCTTCATTTCCTCCCGAGAATGACGAAACTTGTTACCATTATCGTTATATCGACATTATCATTAACATCGTCATTATTTGAACGTTTGAACTTCTCGAGGACCTACTACTGGAGGCTGGTGCCATTGTCAACTTTCCCACTGGAACCTTTCGTCGCCCTAATTGTTTGTTTATTCTGCCATTTCATTTTATTTGATTAATAATTTTCCACCTGAACGCCACCGTGTTGTGTCGTCATTGTTTGCTGACTGGCTGTTTTTACTGATGTTTGTTCATTTTCTTCTCCATTCTTTCTCCTGGTATAGTTACTACGCATCAACACTTTTCGGTCCAATTCAGCAGCAGCCCACCTCCCAGCCACGGCCCATGAAGCGACAGCGATTGATGGCCCCGAGCCGGCTGGCACTGACAGGCAAATTGAATGGCGCTGGCATGCTGGCTGCGGGACCCCAGGTACCACCCCAGCAGCAATCGCAACACCCCACACAGCAGCAGCTACAGATGGCCGCCGTGGCAGCGGCAGCAACAAGTCCTTCGGCAGCCGCAGCAGCAGCCGTGGCAGCCAGTCTTGGAGGGTACTACGGCAACGGCAACGGATCGCTGATTGGAAATGGTTTGAGCAATGGCTGCATGACCAGCAATGGATACATCAATAACAACAGCTACCTGATGAACGGCGAAGTCAATGGTACCATGTCCGGCTATACCAATGGGCAGCACGTCGTGGGACCGTTCAAAGTTTACAGTAAGTTGAATAGATTTTACTTGTGGGATCAATGGTTGGCATCAATGCAAACATGCAATCGCACTGTGACATAAAAAAAAGTCCTGTCACATTTTCTTAGAATACGCTATAATCTTCCACATACCTTGAGTGATTCCGTATCTGTACCTCAAATTAAGGTACTATCCTTATTAATGAACCGAACTAAAAAAAATCCGTTTTCAAGGAACACAAATAGCGATTATTGTTGAATTTACCGAAATTCTCAACTGGAAATATCTTCAACTGACAAAAACACCTCAGATTACAAAGGACGTATACTGGAACCAAATTCAAATCTAAACAACTACAAAATTCGTAGTTAACAACAGATTTGAAGACTTGACAAAATTTCCAAAATAGTCTTAGTCCCAAATACCGATTTTACTGTGTTAAAATATGTTAATGAACAAAAAACAGTGTATGTACTGCCATAATCTGTTTATTTTACGTGCACAATATTGAGGATTTGCTTCAGAAGGTGTCATCAATGATAATCATCAAAAATTGGGACTGTGTTGGTGAAAATAACCACCAGCATGTCCCGCAGCATTTTCCACCATAAACTAGACGTGGGCAAAACAGCTCATCTGGCTGAGCGGATCTGGCCCGTCCAGCTCACTAAGGGGAGCCGATTCTTTTGAACAGCTCTTCAGCTCACATTGAAATTATAGATATTTTGATACAAAATTCAAAATCCAAAATGAAAAATCCAAAATGAAAAATCCGAAAAGAAATAAGTGATTTTGATGACCCTAAACCAAATATAAAAATTGTAAAAGAAGACTAAACCATTAAATGCGTAGCTTACAGCATGGCTCTACTTTTCAAATGAAAACTCCACTAGCGCAACAACTGAACAACCACCGCGTAAACCAAAATGCACGCGTACTACAAAATGTGCCAACCACATCATCAGTAAAAAAATAAAATGTATGCGAGAGAGCTTCACCTTCATAAAATATATGATTGACATCGCGTCACACGATGTTGCGCTTTTCTCATGCTATGCAATTCAGTCTAGGTACATACAGATTTTATTGCAGATGTTATTTCTCCAGCAGAATTGCTCTCACTATTCTCTGGGAAGGTTAAGATTCACGCAAAAGCAAATTACCGTTGACACGTACGATTCGGCTTCAGTTCCAGATTATCATCTCGGATCCGGATCCGTAGCTGGATCATGAAGAATCGAGAGAAATGAGATCCGGGGAGCTGGACGGGTTCGAGAGCTTTCATCCTAAACAGCTCCCAGTGAATAATTCGGGTCCACGACTCTGATCCAGAGCTGCGCTGATAAGCTGGAGAGCTGCATTTCGCTTATCGGCTAATTGCTTTTGTGCGGATCTTTCGCTCCCCGGAGAATGATGAGAGGAAAGGTCAGCAATAAAAGCTGGGTAAGTCGCTATGTAAGCGATGGATTGAATGTTACTTGTGACATCAGTGAGCTGATGAGCAGAAGTTCTTAAATAATTAACCGGCTCATCTGCTCACTTTAGCGAATGGGGTCTTTAGAACAGCATAAACACAAAATATTAATCAATATTTCAAAGCTTGTTACAATTCATTGTCCTTATATTCTCTCCTTTTTTCAAGTAACATCTCGTTTTTTTTTGGTACAAAACTGCCTCTGAAAACTATAAGTTATTTTTTTTTTTCAAACACAAACAAAAAATGTGAATCGCAGCAGTGATATAGAATTTAAATTGATTTGACTAAATCGGCACACATATATAATTTCACAATCTAATAAGTTTAACTCGATTTATCTCGAAAATTGCCGAAAAACTGCTTTTATATCCGCGGTTTGCCGGTGAGCAACGAACGATTACAACCATACTGAAGAAGTATGGAAGTATGCGTTAGGAGGCAACTAACCATCACTCGATTTGCTTTTGCTTCTTCTTCTTGTATTCCCAAATCATCACTTTCTAAAAATATTGGTAGCGTTCGTCGCCGTGCCAAAACAGTCAATGCATCATAAATATCAACTGCTATGGTGAGCAAAATCTACCATCTCTTTTATTCTTTTAATTTTGAATACAACAGCAAATGTGACGTCACACAACCACGTGTATAAGAATGTCGTAGACAAAACATTCACACTGTCAGATCACGCTGTATGACATTTTGTTTACACCCTTGAGCAAGAAAGCCAGTAAGGTGATCCAAGAGACGTTGCTCAGTGGAACTGACAGCTAGAAATTTAGAGTGTGTGAGTGCTCTGGTGTTAATGGTAATGAATTTAAACAAAAAACAAAGCAAAAATTAATATGAGAATAAACTGTCAGTTCTACTGTGATCTGTCAAAAGTTCTTGGTAATCAAAAAAGTCAACTGATCGCAACTGTCTCGTGGACAGCCTTATAACAGGCTACATGCAATGCTACCATCTCCGCTGTTTGTGTTTAATTCAATATTTTTTAACCTTTGTAATTGGAACGTTTAAGGTGATTCGCTGTGACATCCTTATTCTCGGAACCACTTCGAAACATTAAGTGTACACATATAATCTTCTACGACACGCGTAACATTCAAATTGTTACTACACGTTTGCTGCAGTTCAGCGTACATGAAGTAGCAATTTCAAATGAAATGGGGTACAGATTTCCGAGTTTTGTGTAATTGAAAATTCGAAGTGGAAGTGCATGTATAGCCTACGTAGCGGCCATTTTTGGACTCAACAAGGAATCACCTTAAGGTTCCACAGGATCATAAAAATCGATTTTCGGGAGTGTTCTCGGCTTCCGTTAGCACTTTGGTACTTTCTGAATCCTTAGTCAGATCCTAAACCAACATTTTGTGAGAGCAAAGAATATGAAAAATTCCTGTGAACTTTGCACTATATTTTCGGGTTTCTTCCGATTATCATTTTTCGATCCCTACATCGGTCAAAGTTGCGCACTTGAATTTTACAGGACAAAACTCGTAGGTGAATAAACACATGCATGAAATTTGAATTTTAAATTTCATGAATATGTCCGAAGTTCCAAGAAATTTTCTGAACTTCTTTAAAAATTCCTGAAGTTCTCGGAGCTTCAGTGAACTTCTTTGCAAATCCAAAGACCTTCAAGTGCTCAAAGATCTCCATAAAATTATCTTTTTTTTTTTAAAGCATTTGACGTGATACTTTTCTAAAGATCTTGAACTATTCAACAATTCAAATCATGTTTCTCAATTAATCTAAGAAGACAGCAGGTAGATCAAAAATAATTCAAAAGATGATAAAATATCTACATAAAGTCCTCCTCAAAGTTTTCAATATTTCTGATTGATCAAATGTCCAAGAATTCTATCCAACCCAAAGGTTGCATTAATTATTCTATAATATCTGGAACACTGCTACTTTTCCTGCTAACTTGTTGCACACCATCTTTTTTTTCCTCTGATCGGGACCTAACACCACTGCGACCAATAATTTGATCTATTGTAGTATATCCCGTGTCCTTAGTTTAGTGCATGTCGTATTACTCCATCACTATTGAGAAATGATGAAGTATTCGATTGTTTTACAGTTGTCATTCACGCATTTATCGCAAGGATCCGACTCTAATTGAAAGGTCCCGCTATTTATACCCTTCGGAGTGTTGAAACACCCTCCAAAAGCACGCCCCTTTGTCAGTCAAAATTGGATTCCTTAGCAACAAAATTAAGGAATGACACCGATAATGAACATGCATCAGAACCCTAGTCTTAACCACATCAAACTAGGGAACAACGCATAGAAGATTAGGAATCACATAGATGAATACTAACTAACGCATTTTTTCCTTGTGTCAAGATCATCACTATCAACAAGGCATAAAAATTAACAAGGACTAAGATGTGTTCCTTGGATTACTGAAAAATCCTGTTCCCCATAGTTTGAAGTAGTCAGGACTAGGATTGGTGGTAGATCTTACATCCTGTAACGTACCACGAAAAGGGGATCTACCCGCGGTACGGGGCTGCACACCATCTTAGTGAAGGTCCTAATAACCGGAATCTGGTTGTGTGTCATGTAACTGCGTATTGTTCTTGATTTTCTGTACAAACTGTGAATTAAGGAGAAGATCGACGCAACTCAGGATTCATTACGGGAAGATCTTGGGCGTATCGAATTGTTACACTTCGTATCATCCTAACCTACACCGTTTGAAAAATTCATGTAAATTTCTGCGAGATATAGCGCACATAAAATTAACGCTAGATTTGGCATAAATTAACGCGATATTTCGTGTAAATTTAAGCGCAATATCCCATAGATAAGCAATATTGTATGCAAGATTGTAAGCGATTTCGCTGTTTATGCCAAGCAAAGCTCAACATTAAACGAAGGGAGATTTTACGCGACAGTTAAAATTCAGAATTTTTGTCTGTGTGTGGTATTCATTTACTACGATGAAGCTTTCAACCGACTTAATCAACGAAAATCAATGAAAATTCAGAATAATAATGTTGAATATTGATTTAATATGTATCCAATATGTTTGTAATTATTTCACAATCATATTACATTAAAATGTTCCTACATTGCAAATACATTCAAGAGAAACATTTAAGAACTGTTAACTAAATTCATTCCTAGATTCAACGTCGGTCTCTGTTCCGCAATCTAGTGCCAATCACCGACGGACATCGATTGCCATCCAGTGACGGCAGTCGAATAGCGTCAGCGTTAGCGTTAGCGTTAGCGTTGTTATGATATACTTCGTAGATTGGATACTAGCGACACTCACGTCTCTTCTGAAATTCTCAGTTAGACTACTTTCAGGAATAATGCTGGGGAGTAAACATTGGTTCCAATCTAAACAAGAGTAACAGAAGCATGACTGCCGCTATTCCCGGCCACGCCCATCTTTACCATAACTAGGGATAGGGAAGGAAATGTTGATGTAGTACTTACTTAACGAGAGGCCACCGACTTAGCGACACCCTCATAAGTGCTACGGAGTTGGAGGGTTGGGTAGGGTATTCGGTTAGGATTCACCTCAAGTTGGCGAT